CCCTGAAGTGGTGAGGACCGGGCCGCCATGGTGCGGACCGGCAGACCCCCGCGGGATTTCTTCCGGCCTTTTGCACGAACATCTAACAAATGATGCAAATTTTGGAGAGGTCATTCATGTTGTTTCTGATTCGACGTGTAAGTTCAGTAATTCACAAGATAGGAGGCTTGGCGGTTCCGCGAGCCCACAATTGTTCATGCGGAGTAGTCTCCAGGGAACGGACGCAGATATTAGATGCGGAGTATGCGGGCCAACGCTCCTGCAGCGCCAGCGCATGATGAAACCGGATTTGTGGAATAATCAGGTTTCCAATCACATGGGGAGTTTCATCCCGGGCCAACACGCACACACACGCACCAATTCAATGCGTATTCTGGTCCATGAATGATATTTCTGGAGACAATTTCAACATCATGGGGCTGCCCGGAACGAAGAAGAATTTTGTTGAGCCTCAAGTGCTGATTGCATTGATTGGTCCATTATTTGAAACAGCCGAGAGATTGAGGCGGTAAAACGTTCTAAGACGGGAGCCATACAGATCTTCTAAGTCGGTGGAGATCATAGATGTTGGCAACCAGAGAGTGGCACATTCAAAATGAACGCCATATGGGATGACATTGCCACCTTGCTGCTGGCGCGCATGAACCAGCGCATTGAGCGATGCAAGGCTACAGGAATTCAGTCTAACATAATGATTTGGACGGCGCATGCTTGCATCGGAAATTGCGTCACACCCCGAACGAAGCGTACCATTCTGCTGATCAACATGAATCGTACACATTGGACGGAGGCGGCGCAATGGTCGAGGGTCAAGCGGGTGAAGTTATGGCCGATCATATGATGAAAGCAGCACGGCTTGCGGCTTGGTTCTTCCGCCAGCCCTCTGGCGGCTCAGCCGCCCAGGGGTGGGTCTGCGAGAACGACCTGCGAGCAGACGGATTTGCGATGATAGAAGCTACCTATGAGGAGCGTGTCTCGTATTGGACAAACTGGTGCCCCACCGAGAACGGTATTCCGATTCCGATATCGGGTTTTCTTCCTTTCGCTAAATCACTCACGACATTCCTGTCAATGCGATTGGGGCAGGACAGGGGGCGCGGCATTCTTCGTTCTCACAAGAGTGGACAGATTTCATTTCGAAAGTGAAAGAGCGTGATCAACATTTATATTGGAGCGAGTGCCCTTCTTTCCTTGAGAGGAGCTTGCCTCGCATTCCTGGCGCGCCTCCTGGGGATCGAGACATGCGTCGCGCTGGAGAAAAGATCCTCATTGACCAGGTTATGCAACAGGCAACGGGTGCTTGGAAAACATCTCGACCACTTTATCGCCCCCCCGCTCTGTTTGCAGAACGGACGGCATGGCGAACCTCGGGGGCGCAGCCCACGACGAGGCAAGACATCCAATTGGAGGTCAGCCCCGCTGGAGCGGCTTCGAGTGCTAGCCCTGCCGGAAAAGAAGTGCAATGCCCGAGAGACGCAGGGGGTCCTGTTGGACTTGGCACAGCCAAGAGTTCAACCAAAAATCGGGAACGCTCAGTGGAACCCGTTAGAGTACTAACCACTGTTTCCCCCGATGTACATTGTGAGAAAGTAATATAGGAGAAGTGCCCTGAGTACAAATCGACAGGTCTGGGCAAGACAAAGAAGAAATATCCCCCAGTCGGGCCCGATGGCGCCCGCAGATGGCCTGTCAAGTCATCGCATCAGTCGACGAATGGAGTGACTGAAGGAGCTGGTGGAAGATCTACAAGAACCATCTCCCTGAAGCCTTTGAGTGCTGGAGAGTTGGCTAAACGCATCTACAGCATTTGTGGCCAGGAGATGACTATGACGGGATATTGCGAAAAAGAAGGAGCAATTAAACATTCGTGCGTAGCGAATCTTTCGATCGGTTTTGTGTTGCATCGAACGGAGACGCGTGGTTGGCGGATCAGTTGCTCCAAGACAATACGAAACGACCGGTTCTGTCTGCAGAAGATGCAATTCCAAATTGGGCGAAATTCTTCATTGCACGACGTGGCCGCACGGTGTCCGGGGAACCGAGAACGATTGTTGACCGCGTCGTGTGGGAAAATGCAGCAGTCGTAGAGCATGCGGAGAAGGGGCAATGTGTCCAATTGGCGTTGCCTCTTAAGGTAAAAACGAGGCAGAGTTGATTTCGGGTTACAAGTGGACTAGGCTGTCCCGCGGAACACCCGTTGGGATTATCCATTCAGTTCTCGAGGGATACCAGATCCTTCCTTCCGACCCAGAGTATAGGGGAAACGTGAAGAAGACGAACGTCGGGGTATTTTCTTTTGCGCATCCAGAAGATAACCCTTCAACCCACTTGCGGCACGCGATAGTGGAACAGACCTTCCACGATGGATATTGGAACTCTGCGGAAATCATATTCTATTGTTGTCCGAAATCCGTTACTTGTGATGGTGGTCCAACACAACAGTGCACGAAGCGCGCTGATCAAGTGGTAATGACAGAGATGCGCATTTATCACTGGCATTGTGCGTGCCAAGCTAGAGAGTTATTTTCATCATCAACGCAAATCTGTTACTGGATTATGTGCTATTCTGTTTTTTTCTGTGCGTCTGAAATCCGTTCGCGTTGATTGAGTGGCTCGCAGAAGTTACCGCTTTCTGGCTCAGATGTTCTCTTCACTTTGTCGGGAGGGGCTCGGCGTGGCACCAACGCGGCACTGCTGCTTCGAAATCGTTTCGAGGAGCATCTGTCGCGTGGCCCGCAGGTCAGGGCAACCAGGCCTGCCGACTTGGCGACGAAGCTTCGCGCCGAATGCATTGGGTTGTCTCCCAATGCCCCGACGCGGCAAAACCAACTCACCTCGATCCAAAATATAAGCCGTGAGCTAGTCCGGTGGCAACGTGGCGCGCCTGCGTCTACTGGTTCAGGCTTCGCCCTTGTCGCCTGGCCCGCTATCTTGTGGCCCCCCGTCCTGCCACAACGTCGGTGGGGGCCGCCTGGCGGCCCTGGTGCGTGGAAGGGGCTCGTGCTTCCTAGTGTTGTCGCGGGGCGCATTGGAGACTTTACCCTGCCCGTTTTCGTCGGGGCGCGGAGGGTCGTGTTCCTCTTGCGCCCCGCGCCCCCTGTTGGACAGCTACGTTGCTGACGCCGCCTGTCGCTGTACGTCGTGCGGTTTCGCCTCTACATGTGCAGGGTGTTCTGCGCCTTTCGCTGTTGCTGTCTGTGCAGTGGTGGCCTCGATTCGCCTATGCATTTGTCTGTGCGCGCCTTCGCCTGTCAGGCTACAGCGTGGGCGGGAGCGCGTTTGCATGTGCAGCTTGGCTCGCTTGAGCGCCCCGCAAATCAGTGCGAGTTCGTCGTCCTCCTCCACCTCCTTCCCCTGCTGGCCACCGTGCCGTAAAAGATGCAGTCCCAGGCAAATGGGCCCACTAACGGGGTGCAGGCGCCCCCAAGCCATACACCTCAAGTCGTCATTCTCCCCCATCCGCCTCCTTCTCCTCTTCCTCATCCTCCTTCTCCTCCTCCTCCTTGTCCTCCTCCACCTCCTCCTCCTCCTCCTCTTCCTCCTCCTCCTCCTCCTCCTCTCTTCCCCCGTTCCGTGCCGTCCCCGTCCTTCCTTCCCTCACCCCGAAAATGGGGCCAGCAGTTGCAGGGCGCTGGGATGTGTGAGACCCCTGGGGAGGGACAGGAGGAGGAGGAGGAGGAGGAGGAGGAGGAGGAGGAGGAGGGCGAGGAAAAGGAGCAGGAGCAAAAGGAGCAGGAGCAGGAGGAACAGGATGGAGAGGAGGAGGCCTGGGGGGGGAGGATGATGAGGAGGCGGAGGATGAGACGGAGGAGAGGGAGGGAGGAGGAGGAGGAGGAGGAGGAGGAGGAGGAGGAGGAGGAGGAGGAGGAGGAGGAGGAGGAGGAGGAGGAGGAGGAGGAGGAGGAGGGAGGAGGAAACGGAGGAGGAGGAGGAGGAGAAGGAGGAGAAGAAGAGAGAGGTGGAGGAGGGGGATGATGCTTACTTAGTTTTTTGCTTCGCTCATTCAGCTGGCCCTCGAGCGGTCTTTGGGGCCTCTGGGGGGCCTCTTGGGAGTCCTTGACGGCGTCTTGGGGGCCTCTGAGGCCTCTTGGTGAGCTCTTGGGGGCTTCGTGGAGCAGGAGGGGGCTGGGGTAGTCGATTGCGGCTCTCCCAGCGGAGGCCGCGATCCTCGAGAGCGGTGTCGAAACACTTCCCTCCCCAGAGTCATGCGAGAAGCAGCGCAGAAGACGGGGAGTGGGGTAAGCGTAGGATGATGTGGAAGATGGGGAGGAGGAAGGGCAAGAGGAGGAGGAGGAGGAGGAGGAGGAGGAGGAGGAGGAGGGGAAGGATGAGGAGGGGGATTCTGTTTAGTTGTTACATTATCCTGATCCTGCGGCCTGTTCCATGCCCCAGTTCTCTCGCGCCGCTACATGGCCGAGTTCTTGCGGAGGCCGAGGAAGAGGAGGAGAAGGAGGAGGAAGAGCAGGAGGAGGAAGAGGACGATGATGATGATGATGATGATGATGATGATGATGAGGAGGAGGAGGAGGAGGAGGAGGAGGAGGATGATGATGATGAGGAGGAGGAGGATGAGGATGAGGATGAGGATGAGGATGAGGATGAGGATGAGGAGGAGGAGGAGGAGGAGGAGGAGGAGGAGGAAAAGGATGGGGAGAGGGAGGCGGAGGGGGAGGAGGATGAGCATGAGGGAGGACGAAGAGGAGGAGGAGGAGGAGGAGGAGGAGGAGGAGGAGGAGGAGGAGGAGGAGGAGGAGGAGGAAGATGAGGCGGAGGAAGAGGACGAAGAGCATGAGGAAGAGGAGGAAGACGGGGGGGGGAGGGGGAACATGTGGAGAAGGACGACAGGGGAGAGAGGGAGGATGGATATGGGGTACGGGGGGACGATACAGGAGTGGCTTCGTCAGCCCGCGGCGGGCCTCCCTAAGAGCTTTGGTTAGCGCTATTCGGTTTTCCAGGACTGAACGTGCTATCCAACCACACGCTTGTAATTCATGTTTTTGCTACTCCGCCGTCGTTGTCCTCATTGTCGTCGTGGTCGTCGGCTTATGTCGCCTCTTCATTCGAGATTTGGCTCTGTGCCCCAGCGGTGTTGTTTCATTGTTGGTCGCGGTGTGAATCAACCTTTCTTCGATCGCAGAAGGGATGGCGGCCTCGCGGTTGAAGCTGTACTCTGCTGTCCGTGAGTTTCTCGCGTCCCCGGACGCCGAGCAATGGCCTCGGACGCGGGCGAGTGCGCTTGCTTTGCATGCCGCCATCGCCGATGAGGGCGCAGCAGAAGCACGGAATCGAGCCTGTCAAATGTCTTTCCTAGTTCTCCCTTGTCCTGCTTTGCAGGAGGCGCCTGTGCTCCGCCGCCAGTGTCAGACTTTCCTGGCTATTGGGCCTTGGTGGTTTTGGCAAGGCACGGCTGTGGTGCGTAAGCGAGTTTCTGCGCAGGCTTCCCTCCTGTATTCAAATGGGGGGAAGTCGGGTGCCCAGACTTTGTGGATTCTTCCCAGGAACGTGGGCGGCCGCCGCGATGATCTCTTCACGCCAGCGGCTCGCCACCGACTGCAAATGAAGCTGGCATATCAGATCAAACAACGGGCGAACCTTCAGGAGAAACTCGATGTTGAACTGAGCGGTTCTCGTCTTGCGGGACGCCTTCGGGAGATGTGGCTTCTCCGAGCTGGGCTGTCTCCACCGAACATGCCACTCAGGGACGTCGCCAGTTTTTGTTCCGATCTGGCCATTTGGCGACTTGCCCGCCTGACACGTGCCGCGTAGTTTTCGGCTCCCACTGAACATTTGCGCGATTCTCTGGGCGCCTCCTGGGGAAGGAAAAGTTGTTGGCCATGTTTTTTAAAAACGCACAAATGGATTGACCGACCGAGGCCTCGGTGAACGCTCTGTGGAAGGGCGGGCGGATTTCCAACAAGTCGAAACACATGCGTTGGGTGTATCGTCGGTGCGTCGCGCTCGGGATTGTTTCGCCCAGCTCATTAAACAGTTCAACAGGACCTACGGGACTCGTCAAAACCAGGATGATGCGTGTGTTTGGCCTCGCGCTCCACTTGTTCTCCTCATCTATCCATGGGGTTGCCAGGTCGCAAACTGTGCGTTTTTGATATAGCACGGCAGCATTCATAAAGCGAGCCTTGTAGAATTGTGATATAGGGAACAAGCGGCGCGCGAGTCCTGGGCTTCGCTGGCGATGCAATCCCGAGCCGGCGAGGGATGAATTAGCGCGCGCTGCGCGTGCAGATCCTGAATGCGTGGTCTACATAACCCACACGCACGACGAGGCGGCCATGAGGTCTGCCGAGGGCGCGCCCAACCTCCCCCAAACCACATGCCTATCGAATTGCCCACCCCCGAAAACACAGGGGGGCTACGGGCGCGACGCAACGGCGCCCCCTCGGCGCACCCTTGTGTCCCCAAGGTTGAAGTCCTACAGCACGGCAGTCCCAGACGGAGTGGCTGCGATCCCGATTGGCCGACGCCTTGCTCGCGGACGCGCTGCAAAAATTCAGAACAATTGCGTATCGGTAACAATCGGAGGACGCACGCAGGAATTCTACGTAGAGCTGCAGCCGCTGCAGCGGAAGGACGCAGCCAGCATCGCCTATGCCCTCTGGTGCTTCAGTGGCGTGGCGGCGGCGCTGGATTAGGAACGTTTTCGTTGGGGGGGGGCGACCATGGCGCATTCTTTCCTGCGTGTGGCCGGCGTGGGCGGCTTGTGGCAAGCAGCCCCCTGGTCGTCAGACAGCAGATTCCGCTTTCAAAACTTCCATATCCAGCGCCGCCACCCCAGGCGACATGAAACATATGTTTTTGCATTGCGTGCGTTGTTTTGCGTTTTGCTTATTGTTGGGCGCCCAGTTTCGGGCGTCGCATTCTGGCGCCATCCTCAGGTTGGTCGTGGATGACATATTGAGGACTGTTCGGGAAGGCGTCGGGCCAGATGTCGTCGTGCGCTTGGCGCATATATCATTAACGCTTCGCGCATCGACACCGACGCGTCCAGCAGCGACGCGCAGGCGACTTCCCCTGATCACGCCATCGGGGAGAGATGCTGGGAACATCCTCCTCCTCCTCCTCCTCCTCCTCCTCCTCCTCCTCCTCCAGGGATTCGCAATCGTAGGGTAGCGAGCCGCTCATGCGGGTCCACCTCAAAGTTCACTCCTCGAGCAACGGGGCGTGCCCCTTCTGGCCCTAGTGAGAAGCCAGGGCCGTTGCACAACCAATCGCAAGAGATTTTGCCAGCAGCGCGCAAGGCACCAGCGTAGGTGTTTGACGTTGGACCCTTTAATGCGGATGTCCTGTCCTGTCCTCCTCCTCCTCGTCCTCGTCGTCGTCGTCCTCCTCCTCCTCCTCCTCCTCCTCCTCCTTGGTCGTTGACCTTCGAGAACTCCGCGAAAAATCCTCGTCGTCCTTCCCCTCCTCCTCCTCCTCCTCCTCCTCCTCCTCCTCCTCCTCCTCATTCTCCTCCTCCTCTTCCTCCTGCTCCTGCTGCTCTTGCTCCTCCTCCTCCTTCCCCTCGTCCTCGTCGTCCTCCTCCTCCTCCTCCTTTTCCTGCTCCTCCTCTTCGTGCTCGCTCGCCTCGTCCTCCTCCTCCTCCTCCTCCTCTCCCTCCTCCTCCTCCTCCCTCTCCTCCCTCCCCTCTCCTCCTCCGCCTTCTCCTCTCTTCTCCTTCTCATCCTCCACTCCTCCTCCTCTCCTCTCCTCCTCCTGCTCCTCCTCTCCTCCTCCTCCTCCTCCTCCTCCTCTCCTCCTCCTCCTCCTCCTCCTCCTCCTCCTCGTCCTCCCCCTCCCCCTCCCCCTCCCCCTCTTCCTCCTGCGACGGCTGCTCTGTCTGCACGCCTCCTGCTGGCGAGGCGCCTACTGGCCAGCCCGGCCCGCGGTGGCCAGCCTTCGGCCCCGTGGGGAGTCGGGTTGAAGCCCCGTTCCCCTGGCGTGCACGGCGCCCAGAAAGGGGACGGCTGAAGCCAGCTCAATCCCGTTGAATCCTGCTTAATCCCGCTTGATCCCATTCAATCCCGCCTAATCCGGCTTAATCCGAGGCCCTTTCTGGCGTAGCAGCCCGCCAATGGGGCTGAATTATCCTTCCTCCATGTCCGTTTCATTTTTTTTTGCATTTAGGGGGCCGAAGTGCACCAAGACTGTATGGCCTAGGCCAGAGGATTTGTTAATGCATGTGTCGCCACTGCTTCGGAGCACAAGTTTTCCTTTCTCCTGCCCCCCTTCCTCGTGCACGTCCTCCTGACCTCCACCGCTCATGAGAACAAGTCCGCGATCTGCAGAATATCTTGGTGCACTTCGGGACTCCAACCCCCCCGTGAGGGGAAGAGGGGGGACTGCAGCATGAACGCCTTAGACCACTTCCAGCCCACGTGGCAGGTTGGACTTACGGGCGACGCCGTGCCGACCAACCTCGCCGCATGCAAACGGCTATTCGGGAACAGCGGGGGAGGGGTCAATAAATCCCCATCCCCTCCAGTATAATGATTTGTGGGTTTCCGAGGGTAATCTTTAGCTCGGTCTTCGAATTCGTGCTACGGTTTCGTTCGGCCGCCCGAAGGGGCGGGGGGAGAAGTGGCAACCGATCTTCATGGTTGGGTCTTTGTCTCGGCAATCGCATCGTGTTTTTGCTGATTGGTTTCCAGAAGCGCCCCGTGACTTTCTTCCACAATCCTTGGGGGCGGACCCATCGAACTCGCAGGGGGACGGGAGGGGGCCACGGGCCGGACATTCGCAATTCATTCCCCCTCCTGAGGAAAATGTGCCTTGAACGCGGCGTGGAGTACAGCATGTTGCTTTGGGTGTGTTGCGCTCACCAAATCAACCTTACGATACAATACGCCATCTGCCAACGCGCCCTCAAGGATCCTGTCAACGGTGACGCTATTTGCGGCGCAGCTGTGCGGATGTACAAGTACATCCACAACTCATACTACGAAGAGTTCTCCTCCAATCTTCTGAAACTCGTGGTTGGCAATCTGCGTGTCGTCCCAGATGATCCCGCCGCTACAATGGGGCACTGCGCACATGTGCGGCACCTAATGTCGCTATACGGTCCTGATGTGGTCCCTGATCAATTGGTGTTGTTACTCAACGTGCGAATCGGGCTGATGGCTCATAGCTCTTCGGCGCCAGATGGCGTGGACCTTCCAACGTTACGGCGTGAAGTTTTCCTCCAGCTGCAGAAGCGGATCTTGCTCGTCGAAGAACATCCGACAACAAGCCGTTTCTTCACGTTCACTGCGTGCGTGCGGTCCATGTTGTTGTGTGCTTTATTCAACATTCCAGTTGATGTGTGGTCGCTCTCCGCCACCAGACCGATGCAGGCGCAGCAGAAGAGGATTGACGCAGTTCAGTCCTTCTGGAAAGCGCCAACCACACCAGTAGACCTGCGCATCGCTGCTTTGTGTCTGCAAGTGACCAATCACGCCATGAGCATGGCGGCCAAGACGTCGACAGGCGACCCGTTGCTCGTAGAACTTGGCAGCGGGCGCCTCCAGGAGCAGGCTGGGCGGACGTTGGTGAACATTGTTCCTCACATACCTTTCGATCCTGTGTTGCCGCAGCTCAGGGCTTTGACTTCGATGCTTGCCACGATGGGCAATCTGGTCGCCCGTTTGTCTGTGTATCAGGAGTACCCGACTGCGCTGTACAAGCTGTCCCAGTCGTTCAACCCGTCCCAGTGGTCTCGAGAATGTTTAGCGTTCCTTTCCGTCGACGAGGAGCGCCTAGATGTCGGTTTCTCTTTGCCGCTCCGTCAAAAAGCCGACGCCGCTGGGTCCAGCAGGCGTGCCGCGGACTACCTGATGTCGCCTGGCGTGCAAGCCCACGTTGACAACTGTCTCAGGAATGGGTGTGCGACGACCCTGTCGGTAGAGCGGAAACACGTACCAGACAAGAAAACAGAGGCACCCAAGATGAGCACGGTCGCGGCGGCCAGTAGAAACAGTATTTTGAGGCGTTATCGTACAACTCGCAACGCGAGGCGGGTCGTGGACACGCAACGGGCAAAAGCACAACGTGGCGTTCACTTGCACATTCGTGCGTTGGTTTTGCGCCGTCGCCCAGATTTCGTCACGGCGGGGGAGCGGGTCGCTCGGCCTGTGTTGACATTCGACGAGGATGCCATTGCTTCTTATATTGAAGAACATCGCGTGGACCTGCAACGGGAGCTTGACGCCGCCGCAGAAGCGGCGCGGAAAGCCAAAGAACCGGTGGCAGCGTCGACACCCAGGACCAATGCCGAGTGGTTGCAATGGATTTCCCAGAACAGAACAACTTTCAACGACTACTTCGACACGGCCTCCTCGGTGCGCCGCTCCTTGACCCAGCGGCTGGTTCCTGATCAGGAGTTCCCATGTGTCACGCGTTTGCAACCTGCCCGACGTGCCGATGCCATCCCCTGGCAAGATCGCCTCTGGTCCCGGCCGCCAGGTTTTTTTTGTCTCCGCAGCGGGGACGATCGGGACGTCTTCTTCCATTTCGCTCTTGGGACAGCGAGTTGGGTCCTCCCTCTCGGCGGCCATGACACGGCGCGAACCTTGCGACTCACCAGCTCGTTCTCGAAACGTCCGCCTGTCCGAGCACTGCCTGCGCGTTGGCATCCCCGTGGATGATGCCACAGCAGTGTACGAACTTGAGATGGAGTGCGTCGCGTTCGACGCCGACTTTGTGGCTCTGCGAATTGCCCGATGGGACAAGGTCGAAGGTGGCGGTCCGCCGCTCATGCCCGAAGGCCCCGCCATGGACACTGGGGTGGACATTATGGGCGTGACTGCGCCGGAGGGCGATGAGAGCGCCGCAGAGTCTGACAACGATAGCGTCGAGTCCCTCGTGAGCTCCGCCGACGAGGAGGTCACGGACGACGGCGCCATCTCGGCGGGCGGAGGGGGCGAGGAGGGCGACCTTCCACCAGCGGAACCTGTGGGGGAAGCAATTGCGAGAGCGCCCAGGGATTCGTACACCATATGGAAAACTGATTACTTTTCCTTGCGCGACGACCCTGCTTGGCCAGATGCAAAGATAACGGCGTTGCCGCGTTGGTGCAAATGGGAGGACTACCCAGAGGGCGACCCGTACTTGTTGGCGCGGGGCTACAAATCCAAAACAGGATTTCGTTCTGCATTTTGGGCGGGGCATTCATTGGAAGAGGCGGAGGCGGACGGGGACAAGCAGGGGCAGGCAGGGACAGGCAGGCACAGTGGAAGGCAGAGGGGCATGTCCCACGCGGCTCTTTGTTGCGAAAAAGCAGATGCCGCCGCGCGCGTTGCTGCGCTATGCTGCGCTCTGCTGAAACGGATGCGGCGGGGACCGACTTGAAGCGCGGATGCCGCCGCGGACGTTGCTACGCCTATGCTATGCACGATGTGAGGAGGTGCGCAAGAGAGCCAGATTCTGTCGCAACGGCGTTTTTTTTTCACCATCGCGACCCCCCAGCGGCGAAGCAGGGGCAGGGGGGGGGGGCAGGGGGGCAGGGGGGCAGATGAGGGAGAGGCTGCTGCATGTCAAATATCTACAGTGACCGTGGCGGAGTACGGGGAGGCGAAGCCTAACACTCCTGGGTGCTACGCTATATTGTTAGCGTGGAGCATACATCGTGCCCGTCAAGGAGGTTTCCTAGGGTATTCATCTGGCCGTCGGCGTAGTTTCGATTTGGAAATCCGCCGCCTCCGCGCGGATTTGCAAGCATTCGGGCGCGACGGGAGGACGGGCAATGCCAAGATAGACGCACAAATTTTGGAATACGTTCCAGAGGCGTTTGATTAACTCGAGCACGTGGCGGATTTTGCGTCGCGGACGCGGCTCCCCTTGGCCGGTTCTGGGTTCGCAAGAATGGAAGGACCCAGCCTTTTCCCGCACAAAAAAAACATAAAAAAACACATTTCGGCACAGAAAAACATGGAAAACGAGTTTTGGGATGAAAGCGCTTCAAATCCTGGACATGTGATTGATTTTGTGTATTTTTG